GTGAGAAGATTCTTTCATTGAATATTTGAAGTCCAAAGCTATTTCTAAATACCATTTGTGTTCTGGGTAATTTATTGAACTGGAATTCTCATAAACGTTCCCATAATGCACAGTGAATACACTGACCTAAAGATAAAACTGGATGATTCTCTGCAAAAATGTTTGTGTGGAAGCTGAAAAGATGACTGATGTAATTTCATTAATTATGATTTAATATCTCACATTTGTAACTATATTTCTCATAATTGTGGCTTTAATATTTTAATCTTCATCTGACAACTATTATTATTATTATTATTATACAGCAAAAAAATATATTTTTAATACTACAAAAGATTTATATTTAGATTAAATGTTGTTTATTCTATTTATCCAAAATTCCTGAAAAAAAAAGTTATACTGGTTTCACAAAAATATTAAGCAGCACAACTGTTTTCAACATTATTAATTATAAGAAATGTTTTTTGAACACCAGATCATTATATTAGAATCATTTCTGAAAGATCATGTGACGCTGAAGACTAAAGTAATGGCTGCTAAAAGTTTAGCTTTGCCATCACAATAATAAATTATGTTTTAAAATATATTAAAATAGTTTTAAATTGTAATAATATTTCACAATATCACTGTTTTACTGCATTTTGATCAAAAATATGCAGCATTATTGAGCATAAGATACCTCTTTAAAAATATTTATAAAGGGACAGGAGCAAGAGCCTCAACTAAACTCTCTGAACTTGGGAAATTATACTTATAGATGAGATATAAAACAAAATTGAGCATTTTTGTTGACCTTCATTGCTATTGAATTATTACAGCATCCTTTGTGAAAGCATGTCAAACTCTGACTTATTTGGGTCATATATGCTGACATGCAGATACCTGGGTTGGAAGTTTCACATGAAACTCAAGTCGCAAAGGAGAAGACTTCACAAAACCCTCTAACACAACTCAAATACCAAATACCACATTACATTTTCCTCATGACTGACCACGAGCACAGATTCAGACACACACTCGCCCTCACCCAGTCTCTGAGGGACAGCTACATTTTTAATAAGGCTTTTGGAGTGAAAACAATCCTCCTGTCAACCAGCACTCTCTGTCCCATCTCATCCTGTCACTGCCGTGTCAGTCCTGCACACATATCCATGTGTAGGCTGCAGATGAAAAAGTCTTCCGGGCCACAGACACACACCAGAGAGTTGCTCTGAAAGCAGCCAGACGTCCAGACACACACATAACCACACGCGGGGCTGATCGACAGACTGACGCTACATATGGCCATCAGATATTAAGATGTGAGAACAGACATCTTTTGTTATGTCTGAAAACTCAATTTTCGTTTGTTTTCTGTCTGTTTTCTGTGGGGGGAAAGGAAGCTGGATTGGAGAACTGAGGCTATTTTCCTCTGATGTTCCAGATTTGAGATTCTGACATGGTGAAACTTAATTAGAACTCAGAAGATGATTTGGTTTAAAGGCTCTGTCACTGTTCATTGTCCATCACGCACCTAATGAGAGAATCTGATACCCGTTGTTTTCCATACTAACCATGGCAGATCTAAATATGGCATCCTGAACTGTAAAAAAAATCAACCCAAAAATCATGTTAACTGATCAAAGTAAGCAATACAGTTGTATAAAATCACACAAGCACAACATCGGACTGATTCCTGGAGCAACACCCTTATAAAAACTATTTTCTTCCACCTGAAATAGAAAGAATTGTTAACTGGAATGTTGTTATAAATGGCAGCCACACTTTTAGAGTTATACAGTTACAAATTGGTAAGCTAACAAAACTTAAGTCACCTTTATTTTTACAGTGCATTATTCAGATTAATAGATAGGAAAATAACAGAATCGATTATGGAAACTTCTTCAGACATGAGACAAGCAAACATGAGACAAGTTAAGCAGCTCTAAAAAGACAACAGACAATCATTATTCTGCTCAAGTCAGTTTGGTGTTGATTAAATTCAGCTGGATAACAGTGTTGATGTTGCAAAATTTGTGAGTTATGATACATATGTGATTCAGCTGTAAAGCAGCTTTATAGAAAACAATATTTCATCATTCAGCTCAATTCAGTTCAAGATTTGTTCTCATCGGTGCCATCAAATTAAAAAAAATAATACCTACAGTATACTTCACAACTTTTGTGAACAGATGATGATTGTGAGTAAACAAGCAGTATTAACACAGTCGCATTAATTACTTTGCCAAAAACCGAGTTTGTGCTTGGTAAATTTAGGGTTTATCCCGCAGCGAAAGTTTATATTTTCTCTACAAATCTTTAATTGAGCATTTTCACACAGGTAATGGAATAAATTACTTATTCTGAATCTCAAAACATCACCTTTCCCTAAATCAGCTTTGCAGGAGTGACAAAAAGAGAAAGCGAGAAAGAGAGCGCTTGGGTGCCAATCATAATGGCAGCTCTCCTCATTCTGTTGAGGTATGCTCACATTATAAAACAGGAGGGGAGATAATCTGATTCTCATATTCAAATCACTGTTTGTCCATAAATCTTGAAATATTCATGAAAACTCAAGTCTATTAAATCCCTCCGGCACCCTCGTGGGAATTAAAGCATAAAGTCGAGTGAGTGCGCCAGTGGCTCGCCAGAACTTGATTTAGAAAATCTCTTTTTGGAAGTGATTCATGTATACACTCCACTGGTGTTAAGATTCTTTCTGGCACAGCACCGTTTCAGACACTCCTTCAAATGTGCTTTCTTGAGGGGACACCAAACTCAGTCATCAGTCCTTCATGGCTATTGTACCGTACGGATGTAGTGCCGCTGCGATGCGCAAGGGGGCGCTCCGACTGTTTCTTGTGTTTGCCACCGTGGATCCGGTGTTATTCCGCTCTGATGAAAACCGTGACATTTGGTTGCTGGGAGCCGGGGAGCAGGTTTACGCCAACAGTTTGATAGACTGTCGTTTTCATCAGTATAGAGGTAAACGCGCGGATATAATGCACTAAAGCAGGCTGAAATTATTTGAGACAAGGGATTGCACTCTAACCTATTTAGAAACGAATTATATTCCATTAAAATAAAAGTATGACCGTGCTGCATTTGTACTCGAAATGCAGACATAAATGATAATCAGTCAAAATCTGTTATGACAACGTTTTATTAGTGAGCCTATTTGTAATTTGCATTACAATGAACAACATCTAGCTAGCCTAATTATACAGGCTACATATGGATTTGATGTTTCGCCACCCACAATTTGTACGTTTTCAAACAGTCGGTTGAATGCCGATGCAATGCAACAACCTCTTTCTGTTGTTGTGACAGGCAAAAGGTCCATTTAATAAGTTCTGTCAGACATTGTCTGAAAATAAAGATATTCTGGATATTCTGACTCGATTATTGCTAAGGGTACATTTGTATGAGGCAGTTACTTGGACAGCTTTTAAGTCATATATCCTAGCTCTTTTTTTCCTTACCCACTGACCGTTACAATGGTTAGAAACGAATTATATTCCATTAAAACAAAAGTATGACCGTGCTGCATTTGTACTCGAAATGCAGACATAAATGATAATCAGTCAAAATCTGTTATGACAACGTCTTATTAGTGAGCCTATTTGTAATTTGCATTACAATGAACAACATCTAGCTAGCCTAATTATACAGGCTACATATGGATTTGATGTTTCGCCACCCACAATTTGTACGTTTTCAAACAGTCGGTTGAATGCCGATGCAATGCAACAACCTCTTTCTGTTGTTGTGACAGGCAAAAGGTCCATTTAATAAGTTCTGTCAGACATTGTCTGAAAATAAAGATATTCTGGATATTCTGACTCGATTATTGCTAAGGGTACATTTGTATGAGGCAGTTACTTGGACAGCTTTTAAGTCATATATCCTAGCTCTTTTTTTCCTTACCCACTGACCGTTACAATGGATCCTAAATTAGCTTAATTTTATGTTTTCCTCAAAAAAAAAACAAAAAAAAAATCATTAATATAACACCCATATACTGACTGAGCAATATTCAGTCTAATTTTGCTTGGCACCAAATGAAAAAGAAGAAAAGTCATGTCCATTAGAATGGACACTGGGTCTAAACGGGTTAATTACTTAATCCAACATATTAGTTGTGCTCAACTGTATCTTATTTAATAAAGAGGGATAATATGCAACTGCTGGACATTTCTGTGCAGTTGCCATGAGGAATCCCAGGCGCGTGACTGACAGCAGCTCAACAGATTCGTTTTGGCAGCTAGGAGGCGCATGTGGCTCGCGCTTGGGAACCAAACCTGAGAAAGCTCCAAAGACAACACACATTGCAAGATGAAGACGATAGTAGAGAGTCTGCCTGGTTTATGTGTGCAGTCGATAGGCTATATTAAATGCATCATATACCAATATAAATTATACAACAATAATTTTAAAATATTTACAGTGAAGAAAAAATGCCTTGTCTAAAGAGAGAGACATTTGTTTTGCACTTGTGAAATGAAATGCAAATATACTGGTTTTCCACTTTTTTTAAACTGTACATTTCAGATTAAATCAAATACCTTTTATTGTCACATCACCATATGCACAGTTCAACAATAAAGTGATGTGCAGGTAAAGGATACAAAATTCACTACTTATACAAATAATAATGGGTGGAATTATGTATTGCTACACATTTTCAATATATAAAATGCACAATTTCCCATGTTGATATACAAATATTTTTTTTTTATTTTGTGTGTGTGTGTGTGTGTTTTCCCCCCACATCTTGATCGTTCTTCTCTCTGACTCATTCTCATGCGAACTCATCAGCCATTCAATCATTATGACCAGAAATCCCGCAGCTCTGACCAGGGGCGTGTCTATCCGCTACTAGGAGGCTTGACTGACGTAGCGCAAATCCAATAAAGCTTCAGCTCTGCTAGTGCCGGGTGCTCCCATTGGTTGGCGAGGAGAGGGTGCTGCGGGAAAACCGAACAGCTAAGCGCTGTTGCCTCAGTACTGTGCCAGCGGACCCCGCAGGAGCGCACCAGATATACCGGGACCTTTCAGATATCAGAGACTGCAGCTCTAATATAAAATGCATTTGTTGAATTAACTCTGTGGATTATGATATTGTGTTTTATCACACGCCAGCTGATATCTCTTAGTATCAGTGACAGTCTAATGCTGTAATGTTCACTTGTGCCAGAAATCCGCTGCGACTCTAAAGCTTGTTCGTGGGGGGAATCGCCTTGGGAAATCGGTCCTGTGTAAACCAGCACGCAGACAGCATGGTTTTGGCTGACAGCCCCGTTTAAGGAAAAATATCGCCTTACAACCAAAGCCTTACGCACGCCTGCGCGCCTGGCCTTGGAGAAGAGGGTGATGGTTTTGCTGCGTGCTCCGCTGAGATAAAATAGTCCAAGTGTCCTTTCCGGAGTGGAGATGTTTGTGTTTTTGCTCCTGCTGTGTCTCGCGGATGGAGTAGTTTCGCAGATACGTTACTCTGTGCCCGAGGAAGCGGAGCAGGGCACATTTGTGGGGAATATCGCAGAGGATTTGGGACTGGACCTTACGAAACTTTCATCCCGCCGCTTTCAGGTGGTGCCCAGCTCGCGGACGCCGTACCTGGAAGTAAACTTGGAGAACGGGGTGCTTTTCGTGAACGAGAAAATCGACCGGGAGCGCATCTGTAAGCAGAGCGCCAGCTGCTTGCTTCACCTGGAGGTGTTCTTGGAGAACCCACTCGAGCTCTTTCGCGTGGAGATCGAGGTGGTGGACATCAACGACAACCCTCCGAGCTTTCCGGAGACAGACATCACCGTGGAAATATCCGAGAGCGCGACCCCGGGTACGCGCTTCCCGTTGGAGAGCGCCTTTGATCCGGATGTCGGTAGTAACGCATTGCGCACTTACGACATTACCAACAACAACAATTTCTACCTAGACGTGCAAACACAGACCGACGGCAACAAATTCGCAGAGTTGGTTTTGGAAAAGCCACTTGATCGGGAACAGCAGGCGATGCATCGTTACGTTCTCACGGCCGTGGACGGCGGCCAGCCTCCTCGGACAGGTACAGCTCTGCTTGTGGTCAGAGTGCTCGACTCCAACGACAACGTCCCCGTGTTTGATCAGCCGGTGTACTCAGTCAACTTGGCCGAGAACGCGCCCGTGGGCACGCTCGTCATCCAGCTGAACGCGACCGACTCAGACGAGGGCCCGAACGGAGAGGTAATTTACTCGTTCAGCAACCACATCTCAAGCAGGGTCAAGGAACTGTTCGATATCGACGCCCGAACGGGCCGTATAGAGGTCAGAGGTGAGGTGGACTTTGAGGAGAGCAGCCTGTATCAGATTTACGTGCAAGCGAAAGATATGGGACCTAATGCCGTGCCCGCGCACTGTAAAGTTTTGGTCAAAGTAACGGACGTAAATGACAACGCACCGGAGATCATCTTCAGCACCGTCACGGAGTCGGTGAGCGAGAACGCAGCCACTGGCACCGTCATCGCGCTGCTCAGCGTCAGCGATAAAGACTCCGAAGACAACGGCCAGACGCATGTGGAGATTCTCGGAGATGTTCCTTTTAAACTCAAAACCTCTTTCAGAAATTATTACACTATTGTGACTGACGGTCCTCTCAACCGAGAGACTGTAGAGGCATACGCAGTCACCGTTGTTGCGAGAGATAAAGGGATTCCATCTCTGGCTACCAGCAAATCAATCAAAGTGCACGTGTCTGACGAGAACGACAACGCGCCAACGTTTACGCAGCCCATTTATGATGTGTATGTGACTGAGAACAATGTCCCTGGTGCTTACATCTACGCTGTCAGTGCAGTCGATCCTGATGTCGGACAGAATGCTTATATAACTTACTCCATAGTGGAGTGTGAAATCCATGGTATGTCTGTGGTCACCTATGTGTCCATCAACTCGGAGAATGGGTATCTGTACGCCCTCAGATCCTTTGATTATGAGCAACTAAAAGACTTCAGCTTCATGGTTCAAGCCAGAGACTCGGGCAGCCCCGAGCTGTGGTCCAACGCCACGGTGAACGTCATTATAGTGGATCAAAACGATAACGCGCCGTCTGTGATTGCGCCTCTTGGAAAAAATGGCACTGCGCGGGAGCCTTTGCCGCGCTCTGCCGAGCCAGGCTACCTAGTTACTCGCATTGTCGCCATGGATGCAGATGATGGGGAGAACGCGCGCTTGTCCTATAGTATACAGAGAGGCAACGAGAATGGGATGTTCCGAATGGACTGGCGCACCGGGGAATTGCGCACGGCCCGCCGGGTGTCAGTCAAACGAGACCCGCAACAACTGTATGAGCTGCTGATTGAGGTAAGGGATCACGGGCAGCCTCCTATGTCGTGCAGCGCGGTGGTGCAGGTGATGCTCGTGGACAGTCTTGTGGAGGGCCACAGTGGAGAACGCGGCACGGCCAAGGCCAAAGACGCGTCTCTGGACTTGACGCTCATCCTTATCATTGCTCTCGGTTCCGTTTCTTTCATCTTCCTTCTGGCTATGATTGTGCTGGCCGTGCGCTGTCAGAAGGACAAAAAGCTGAACATCTACAGCACCTGCCTGGCGAGCGACTGCTGCTGCCTGGTAGGCTGCGGGTCGTGCGGGTCAGGTGGGTGCTGCGGTCGTCAGGCCCGGGCCGCCAGGAAAAAGAAGAAGCTGAGCAAGTCAGACATCATGCTGGTCCAGAGCACCAACACAGCCAACGTGAGCGTGGCGAGCGCCGCGCAGGTGCCCGTGGAGGAGTCAGGGAGCTTCGGCTCGCTCCATCAAAGTCAGAACTACTGCTACCAGGTCTGTCTGACTCCGGAATCGGCCAAAACGGACCTCATGTTCCTGAAGGCCTGCAGCCCGTCGCGCAACAACGACACCGAGCACAACCCGTGCGGAGCCATAGTGACCGGCTATACGGACCAGCAGCAACCGGACATCATATCTAACGGCAGCCTGCTCTCCAGTGAGGTACGAGCACTTACTCAAATAATATAATTACTTGCCAAATAATTTCTTTAAAATAATTTTAAAGATTCCGTTTTATTTTTTGTTTGATTTTGATTAATGGCACTCAGAAAGCAAATCTAGCTCTTTTATTAAGCTATACTGTATCTCTACAGTATAGACTTTAAGCATTCGTCATTATGTGGAATAGTCATGATTTTGAAATAGTTTGCTATTTTACATTTTAATTGTCTTTTTATATTTCGAATTAAATATGCATTCAGTGAGAATAATACAAAATAATCTTCCTCTCAAGAATAGTGAGCTCTGAAAACAAACAGTTTGATAACTGGTTGCTCGCAGACCGACATAAGCAACATTATTTATTATTACTTTATTATTATTATTATTATTATATGTTCTATATGGCCTATTCTGTGGAATTACCCACGTTAGAGCTTAAACATAGTGAGTCACTGAAATTATAGATTTGCATGTTTGTGAAAAGCTCCCCGGGTTATAGGTCATTAGATATGCCAGTCACGGTGTTGCAGAGCCTCACAAGAACAAAGATCTGTCTATAGTTGAATTCTGCTGAATAGCAGCAGAGCCTAATGATTTTGACTGCCCATAAAGTTCCTGCAATGCCCCCAGTGAGCAAAACCTGAATTCTGACCTGTGTTATTTATTTTTTTTTTTTAATTAATATTATTTAATTACTATTATGCATTGTTGTTGGGCCTGTTTCAAATCGATACCTCTCTTGCAGACAAAACACCAGAGAGCAGAGCTCAGTTATTTGGTAGACCGACCAAGGCGTGTTAACAGGTAAGCACTTAACCTAACTGATCTTAAACTTATTTCCCCCCATAAAATTTTCAGAAGCCTTTATTTTTTTAAAGTCTATGAACATCCGAATTAAACCAACCTGAGAGACCATATCAAAGCTGAGCAGTAAATTTGTGGTTATATAAGAGTCATGTGGCATATTGGTTGACTCAAACCCTCTCTCCTCCCTCAGTTCTGCATTCCAGGAGGCAGATATCGTGAGCTCAAAAGACAGCGGCCATGGAGACAGCGAGCAGGGAGACAGTGACCATGATGCCATGCATCGCGGACATTCCTCTGGTAAGTCTAAGCTAGTCAATTTCTATTTTTCTCTTGTTTTGTATTGATTAACAGAAGAGCTGCTAGTCAGGCTGAGCTTGCAGAGATGTGGGTAAACTGTCGAGATAGACATGCTGGATGAAAGATGGCAGATTTTAAATAGTTTGATTGGGTTTCATCCTCACACAATCAGAACAAAAGCCCTGATCAAGGCATGTCATGGCTTTTCAGATCTGTCAGAATCCTAGCAGAAATAGTTTAGGCTAGCGAGCCTCTGGGTGTGGATGCATGAACACGTTTTGGGAACTACAGCCTTAGTGGAGAATGTAATCCAATTGTTTATGAATACATCCTCATAATAGGGATTTACTTCAGTGGTATTATCTCCCTTTCACCAACGTCTCCAAAGACATGATGGAATTTAGATCAGTCCAGGCGGTCTGTCATCGACTCTGTGGGAATGGGACCAAATAGGTTGAGCGACAAACAAACAAGCGATTCATTGACTGCATGCGACCCCGTCCCCAAACTCCCCTTCCACCCTAATCCCTCTGCCCGCATTCCACTGATGGAGGGCACTACTTGTCCACACCTTCATAAGACCACATGTGGCGCTTTGGAAATGAGATTCGGCTTTATGCTGCGATGGAAACGGTGCTTTGTTGCTAAATGACACTTCGCTTGAAGTGCATTGGGAAGTTGACTGTATAATGTAATTATGACATAGTTGGACACAAATGAATACAACAAAAAAGTTGCATCTTATTATCATTAATTTCTCTTTGCTTGAGCATATGTCCTCTGCTGTTATTCCAGAGCACCATATGCTGTGGCTGGACTGCTTCAGCTCTCATTTAGCCTATTTTTGCTCATTTAAACATTAGATTAAAATCAAGATTTTTTTTTCCATACAAGGTCAGCTAGCCCATCTGCCTTTGTTGTTACAGGCCATCAAAGAACACTTGCCTTTAAGATACAGCTCTATAATGTAATAATAATAATAATATGTTCTGCTTTTTTTTCCCCATTTGCTTGTTGTCCCCACTAAAATTAATTGTTTTGCTGCATGCTATCTTCTTTAATTAAGATAATTGAAAACGTTTCACTTGGTATGCAAGCTTGGAGAGCATTCAAAAGCGTACATTGTTCATTTTAATGAGAATTCGCTAGAAACTGCCTTCATCCTTTCAAATTTGTTTCAGACATTTTGTTTCTTAACCAGCTGCTGTTTTATGGGCTTTTTGAAAAAGGAAAGTTTAGTGCTACAGTGTCACAACATAGACACATCCCAATCTAGTCATCTCTGCTAGATTAAAAACAGGCCAAGATAAGCATCGTTTAATTGATCTCTAATGCATAAAAATGCACCTGTAATACATAGTGGAGAACTTCAGAGCTTCTCTGATGAAATGACACACCTGAATCGTTTCATTCCAGTTTCATTTCTTTTATCCCGAGGATCTGCCATGTTGTAACAGAATCCCTCATTTGGTTTGCAGGTCATGTTCAGAATCCAGAAACAGCTCACTGATCAGTAATTTATTTTCAGCCTGATGCATACCGATTAGCAAATGAAGGTTATTATCAGATCTAATGCTTTGCAGGGCTTCTGCTCAGAAAACAGCAGAGCAGATATATAGAGAAGGAGATGTTTCAGTGGATCATTTCATTTACAGTCCATTGCTATATCTTCTTTAATCTATAATTCTTTTTATCTCTCTTTCTCTTTCTCTCGCTTTGTCATGCACAGTGTAGAGCATAATGAAAAAGTGACGTAGAGTTTCAAACAACTTGCGCAAAATAATATATTTTGAGTGTTTTCTTTTTTGGTGAAATTGCTTGTGGTGTTCCTCTGGCTTTTTGTTGCATAGAGACCCTGTTTAGTCATCGCATTGCGATCCGCCTCTGGGTGATCTGGCCATTGCCTTTTTCATCTGGTGCTTACATGCATCTCAAATGTGGATTCTTTGTGCACTTACGGTCAAATTTTGAGATGAGGGTCTCTGTTTTTTTTGACAACACAACATCACTCATTATGTCAGCATGCAACTGCCAAGGTGTTATTGAAGTTTGATAAAAAAATAATAATAATAATAAAATAATAATAATAATAATAATACAAAATGGTGCATTTCTCACAAACATACACTACCGTTCTTTGTTTTTTCCAAAAGAAATTAATAGTTTTATTAAGCAAAACTGATCAAAAGTGACGAGAAAGACTTTTACATTGTTACAAAAAAATTAATAAATAAAAATAGTTGGAAGTATTTCAAAGAAATGCTGTTCTTTTGAACTTTCTGTTTATCAAAGAATCTTGATGAATAGAAATAGAACAGTTTCCAGTTTTGTGTGACACTGAAGATTGGAGTAATGATTGTTTAAAATTCAGCTTTTTCCATCAGAAAATAAATTTAATTTGAAAATAAATTAAAATAGAAAATGGTTATTTTAGGTTGTAAAAAATATTTCATAATATTACATATTTTTACTGTATTTTTATGAAATAAATTAAGCCTTGGTAAGCATAATAGATTTCATTCAAAAGCATTCGAAATCTAACTGACCGCAGACTTTTCAATGGCATGTAGTGTTATAACGTACTTTAAAATATTGTTTTAATTTTAATCTTATATATAATGTTTGAAATATAAAATGTTTTGAGCTGAATTCTAGAATAATTTAGTGGAGTACCTGCTTTAAATGGCAAAGATTAAAACCCTTGTAACCTTTTTTCTTACAATAAGTGGATACATATCAAAACATTATGGAACCCATTTAAATTTGTATTCAGCATCGGCTTACCTGAAACTGAAATTAATACAAGGTATAAAAATAGCATGGATTTTTTCAACCAGAGAATTGTATTTTCATCAGGTTTGATTCTTTCTTGAAATATTGAACCACAAGTCAACAATATAATTACTTTTCCGGTTTTTCCACTGAAAAAAAAGACACTGGATGAGTACAGAGAGCAATTAATTTCAGAAAATGTCAGGAAATATCAAGATGTCTCCGTGCGATTACACGATGAGGAAGTGTCTTATCTCACACTGTCTAAATATCAAACTCTCTCTCTTGCTCGCTCTCTCACCTTCTTTGTATGTCAGAAATATACACAAAGAACCTTTGTTCACAGTCTCTTATAAAAATGAGACCTTTGAATATTGTCATAGATAGCTTTCAGATTTGTTTAATGTCTGAACTACTTGTCGATGTTATACTTGGGTCTGTAATTAGGAGAGTCTTACCAAGCCCAGGCCTACGTAGGTTGTTTGCATGTAGCTCAGAAGAATTCTAATCCTCTTTTAAAGCAGAAACCCAAAGTCTGTGTATGCTGACCTGTCTTCTGTCTGAAGGGCTAGTCTGAGGATTAGCAAAGAACATCCCCCCCACACCACTGACTCTGCTCCATACCTTCAACATCTCTGCTTAGCGCTGCTTTGAAAATGGCACTTCATTAATCATCCAGCTGTAATTACTGACTGTTTTAGATGTGGGGTTTTTAGACACAGAAAGGGGATTTAAAAATGCTCACCTCTCTCTTCTTCTCAGATGCATGTAGTCAAAATGGCACGGCTAACACCTGCTGGGGTGCCGGCGGGGCTAAAAGGCTTCGTGTAACTGTCACGCACAAACTAACAGGATCTTTTCTCTCACGCTGGCTATAACTGTAACGCTCTTGTAGCGCTAGCTTCTCAGCTTTGTGATTTGTGAGGGCGTTAGTCATTGGATATTAGCAGTGGGCTGCTTGAATTACGTGCCGCTAATTAAAATGCATTTTCAAAGAGGCTCGTGCTAAACCTGATGTGGTAGGCCCAACACTGGTGCTGAAGCTTGGCTCCTAAGGCCTGGAAAATTATAAAATTGTTAGATTAGATTAGATAGTTATGTAGTATCTTGTTGTGTTTTCCGTATTTTTTAGGTTCTTTAATTTAGACGAGAAAGAGACAAAAGAGTAAGTTTTTTTTTTTTTTTTTTTGGAGGCTTGAGCTAAACCTATGAGAAAGATGTTGTAGGCCTTAAGGGGTGGAGCTAGGTTCTTAAAGCCTGTTTCAAATAATGCCTGGGAAATTACATATTTATTTATAGTAATTTAAACTGTTTAGATATATAAATATGTTATATATATATTTCCCCAAATATTTTTATTTTATATTCCTTTGAAGTTCATTGAAGCATGTTTTATATTTTGTGTGTGTGTGTGTTTTTTAAATGTCTTATTGTGTCCCTTATTCTTTTTGTTCCTTTAATTGAGACAGAGAGAAAGAAACAAAATAGTAAAGGGGGTTATGACCTTTATAATATATCCCTTCATCTTCTAGCTGGGCAGAAGAGGCGGAAAGAGAACAGAGGATCGGGTTTATCTGCAAGCTTGGTGTCTGAGAGAGTTTACCTTTGATGTCAAATAGAAAGAGAGAGGGAAAGAGAGACCTCAAGAAGAGATTACAGCATTGACTCCATCCACTCGTTGTGTATGTTCTCCGCACATGCTTTGATCAGGGTAATTTGTAATTTAAAAGTCACTAAAAAGGAAAAAAAGAGCACGATGCAATCTTTTCATGATTAGCACGTCAAGTGCCAAAGACATTTCATGCATAGAGCTTCTAATGTTTTCAAAGTGAATGACATGTATTACATTTAATTTGGATTTACATATTTATAATGCTTGATTAAGTCTAAAAAAAGATGTTGGATAAGTCATACCGATTGGTTGAATTGGTTGAATGTGGCGGTTCGGTCTTTTATCTACGAGAGGAGATGTTGAGAGCGAGTTATATCATACATGCACTGCATACACATGGTTTATTGTATTTATTTATGTTGGTTTGTCTTGTTTTAATGCACTTACATGCTTCCAGTGCAATTGGGAGCAGATTCCTGCTGTCATCCTCCCACATGGACAATTAAACACAAGCTAACCCATCTCTCTGTTCTCTCTCATAGGAGTAGACCTCTTCTCCAACTGCACAGAGGAGTGCAAAGCCCTCGGCCACTCAGATCGCTGCTGGATGCCAAGTTTCGTGCCTACCGAGGCACGACAGGGCGCCGATTACCGCAGCAACCTGCACGTGCCGGGCATGGACTCTGTGCCCGACTCTGAGGTATTTGAGGGCGAGACGTTGGCGGGCGATCAGTCATTCTCAACCTTTGGCAAAGAGACGCCACACAACCCCAACCAGATGCACCAACACCAACATCAACACCATCAACACCACCTCAATGCTTCCACGCTAGAGAGGAAAGAGTTCGATGCACTTCTGTGTAACTCTCGCATGCCTTACAAAGCCACCTGTCTGTGTGAGTATCTCAAAAGAGAGAGCTCTTTCCTCTCTCTTGATCTGACCCAAAAAAACTTTCCAAATTCAAGGCCTCTAGCGTGAAGTGCTGCTGAATTCTCCTCTAAAAATTCTAAGCCCTCACACTTCCGATTTCCTTTACCCATCAACATCTGTCCATCCTTCATCTGCTGTATATATACTGGTTCCTGGTGTACACTCTTAAAAATAAATGCTCTGACAGAAGCAAAACCTATAGGAGAGAACATAAGTGTATCATTTTAACTTCCTAAAGTATTTTTTATCCTCTAGTTCTTTAGGAAATCATCTATTGGTGCTTTAAAGCCCCCTGGAGGCCTGCACATTTTAAATGGAGGAATCAATATTCTGATCTTAAGAACTTCTTCTAATGTAGCATCAAGAACTATTTTCATCTTCAACGAAGCAAATAGAAAGAAATCTACCAAGTGAACAAAATAGTTTTTTATTGAAGCATTGAAGGACCTTTATTTTTAAGAGTGTATGATTAGCTTTTTCTTCATACATTTACTCACATTCAAACAATGTTATCAGGGTGGTGAAAACAATCAGAATTTAGGAATTGACCCACTTTTAATACAAACTGGCTGCACACACAATTTTTGGTAATTGAAATATTAAATTATAAGTCTATCTATAAATAAATAAACCTTCAAGCCAACATTTAAAATTTGTCTTGACCAACTTGTTTTTTTTTTCTTTTTTCTTTTTAAAAATTGCAATTGTATTACATTTATTGAAATTCGTTTAACTTTAATTCTACCTCCTTACATTCAAATTCAAAATCAGGAATTAAACGAGCATTCTCAGTTGAATTCAGAATGTTCCACAACCCTGATCATTTCATTACTTCAAACATTGCACATGCTTTGAAACATGAAATTGCTCTATGAATTCATTCAGTTGTTTATAAATGCAGGGAATTACAAAAGCCCTTGTCTAGTTGTGGGATTTTAATGCAATACGATGTTAGATCAAACATTAAAACATTCTCAGATATCTGACCATAGGCAAAAACCCACCAGCGACTGACAGAGATTGAAGCCTAAAATGAACTTGTAAAACACACAAAAATAAAAGAAAGGCTGAAACTCCCTATTGTTTTGTACACAGGCAGTAGACTTATTGAGGCAGCGTTTGACTAGTCATGCCAAACATCAGCTCAGAAGCTTGAAACAGACGCTCTCAAAAGGCCAGAGTTTATAAGGTTTAGACTGCCTACTACTGTTTGTTGTGTTGGAGGGGATGAAGGTGGTAGTGGGATTGATTGAAATATTATCGACTGCTCTTGTTCTGTTGAAACCTTCAGACATCTGTCTCAGAAAGAGCGCTCCGAGGCTGTGTGGGTGGTGCATTTAACTTTGAGGTAATAGTTTATGATTGTAGGCCTATAGTTCCACATCAAAGCTCCGCTTCTGAACGGACCAGCCAAGGGTCTTTTAATAGCTTAGCACAACACTTTATGTAGTTTGCCGCCTAAAAAACCCTAACCTTTAATAAGCTTCCTTTCTTTTTCCCTTTTTAGCGCGGAAAAGGATATGCTAGCTCTTTCCGAGTGGACATACCAGAGACGGCGTGATTTTGCACAATCAGTAAAACTGATGGAAAAGCAAAGAGCGTCAAGTTTTCAGACTCTATTTCCAGAGACGTCAGATGATTGTGCGTTCCCAAAGGCTTCCGGAGCCTCTAGGACCTCAACAAACTTGATGAAAGAGTCTGACTCGCAGAGCTAGATGCAACGCCGAGCGGCTGGACATAACGCGCTTCTCAGCAGGACTGAGACGGAGGACAAAACTAAACCGTTAAAATACACTGAGGATAGGAAGACAAGTAAAGAAACAAGAGGACAGCTATTCCTCTTGGCTTCTGCGTGTGCCTGTTTACAGCACTACTGTACATCGTAAAAAAAAAAAAGACAAAAAAAGACAATGCGAACTATGACGAGAACCACCAACGAAAACTACAAAAATGGAGATATATTCACTGAGCCCTTTAGTTGTTTATGTACACACACACACACACACACCACTGAAAAGCCAATTGTACAGGAAATTCATTTGTGCATTACAAATGCAATATTGTTCTTTTAGACATGACTGTTTTTATATTCTGTGTGCGGCTGTGTGTGTGTGATAAGGTGTTTTCCCTAAATCTATTCCAACTCTTTGTCAAAAGAAAAAAAAAAAAGCAACGGATTCCACGGAGGGATTTTTTTTTTTCCCGTCAGGGTTAAGTGTTTAACGTTGTGAGCAGGACAGCTGTGGCCTAAATCTTACTCTCTCAGACAATACGTAGGTTATATCACGTGTGAGAAGTCTTAACTGTACTCTTTTAAACTTCAAAATAAATATAAATCTATATCTATAAATCTATCTATATATGCTTTTTCTGAAAGTGCGGTCTTCATTTGCGCCGTTTTTTCCAGTGTAGTGTGTAAGGCTCCTCAAGGGAGCTGTTAGCGTCGCTAATCCACTTTACAGGGGTTCTTAACATGACAGAAAGCCTTATCTCCAAACTTTTCATCCATTTTTTCACTTTTGGATATTGAGATTCATGTCTATAAATAAAAAGGGTCATAATATTCTAGATTTTAATACATGGCAGTTGTGTATTACTGTAGCCAAATAGATCCATTTGGAAATTTGAAGCCAAATACAAAAGGGGCACACAGTGCGAATCAAACACACATGCACACACACACACACATACACACACACACACACACTGATACTGATATTTACACACTTAAGCATATGAACACAAACACCTTAATACCAGGAGGTGACAAATAAACTGAAAAATGCATAATTATGTCTTAGACTCCTGTGTTTTATTTTAAGACAACTTTAGCGGAACTAATACGAATAGACAGTTTAACAATTAAGCCACATTCCTTCAAAATCAAATACTACACAAAACATTCTTTTCTAATGAAATATGTAATGGAAAACCAGGCACAGCTGTCTGGTTTTGTTTTGTAGCTAAGGACATCTGAAAGTCTTATTTTTGCACACATGGATTCAACCACTCAAATTAGCATTTAGAGCAATTTATTTGTTCAAAACAAATGCTATTGAGGTTTTATTAACAATGACAGTTCAAAAACATTTTTGCACAAAAATGGAGGGAAACATGGACAAATACATTTTGTTCACTTCTCATCTGCAAAGAGAACAAAATGTAATATATATATATATATACTCCATTATGTTTGACCTCCACTCACATTAATCTCTTTCACAAACCGCAGGCTTTAATATCTGGACGGGAAAGCTGACAGAGGGACCTAAATACATAAATCACTGGGCTATAATAAGAATAATTAAAGAAATAAAATAAATGACTTACAATTCCCCAAACAAGTCATACATTTCCCGGAGACGTGCTTTGGAGCAACTTTTAAAGTCACTCAAAGATGTTCGGTTAACTTTTTTCAGCTTTACTGAATACAAATAGCTTCTTCTAACAGGATCGTATTTGTTTCGCATGTAAAATGTAAGAAGGTGGGCCTCAAATGATGATGTGAAGGTGGGTGTTGGGTGACGCTTTAAGCAGAGGCCACCGCTGACAGATAGATTGAAGTTGAACAGAAAATCTGTCCTCATAAATATGCTAACAGCCCCAGCCCCTGTCAGACTCTTTTCTCTCACCTCCCTCACGCCTTTCCTCCCTTCATCTCACCCCTCTTTTCCTTCCTCCTGCACACACCTCATCTCCTCTGACAGGTCAGCGCTCCATTTGTTCTTTCTGACTGATGACATCTGTGAGGGCAACTTTTGTTCTTCTCCAAAGAGAGATAGAAAGAAAAATAAGAGCATCTTCGGTGCTGGTTTGTCAAGGTGTTCCATGTCTGTTCTCACTTCAAAATGCTTCTCTATAGGGAATGTTTTGAAGATCTCTGCTGTGTGTGTATGTGTGTGGCACTGCCAGATGTCTGATGTCTGAGGTGACAGTGAGACGTGGTGGAGGCTCATCGGACCCCTGGCAGTTCTCTGAGGGGCCTCGGGGCCCCCTGCCTAAGCGTCTGAAGTGACAAGGCGCCGAAAAAGCGATAAGCGGAGCAGGACAGGAATGTGAGAGCAGGGAGGCCACAAATCCCAGGTGTGCTGTCTGTTACGTGGGAGCGGGTGGAGAGTCGGACAGCAGATAAGATGACAAAAGAACGACGAAGCCGGGAGCGCGACGGGAGGGGGGGACCAGGCGAGAAAGGAGAAGAAAAAGAGGGGCAGAGAGCCCCCGTGAGCTGAGCTCTGTGTACACAGCTTTTCTGACATTTAGACCTCTCAACTGCTGTAGTCTTGCTATCAGACCTGTTAGTGACACAGCCCCGCTGAGACTTCATGACAAAAAGTCTCCGAAAAAGCTTTTAAATGACAAATATGCCATCGTAGGCTGTGAATTTTAACACATTTTCTCTAACTATGGACAATGGCTTATAGTTTTGAATATCAGTGAACTTGTGACTCGATTAAACAGCAGGTTCTAACCTCTGAGTGTTTTTTTTACTCTCATTGAGCATCTGAGTGAAGAGGTATCAGTCTACTTGACAGTAAGCCTATTTAGTTCAGTGAATGAACGTTAATCTGTCTTTAGTGCCTTTGGCCTATTTCCTTACTGTACTGTCTGCACACTTTACATACACACACAAATCAAAGCATGTGTGTAAATCTTATAGGCCAGTCATTTGGGCCCAGGCTAAGTATGTGTTTGTGTATTTTGTTGTCAATGTAGGCCAAGTACCCAGGACATCATAATGTCTTTGTGAAAGAAAGAAAAAAGAAAACGGAAAATAAAAGTAGCTTTTTTTGATGCTGTGGCAGAAAAAAATTGAAGCAATAGCCTGGGGAAAGATTACCTGAAGAAGACTGACAGTGTCCAGTCTATTCTCCTATATTTTACACTCCAGGAATTGAACAAAAGACAAAAAAGAACCTGAAGTCAAAGAAGAATTGAACTTTAATACTTGTTATACAAATGTGTGTATGCAATATATATATATATATATATATATATATATAATTTAATTTAATAAATAATAATATACTTGGCAACATACTTGGTATTACTTTAATATATGAACAGCTGATAATCATTACCATCATCATATTTATTATAATTATTATGAAAATGTAATTGAATAAATAAGAATTTATTATTGTTGTTGTTAGAATCACACTTTTTTTTTTTTAAAGTGCAGCATACTTGGCATCCTATCTTTCAAAAACACACATGCTGACACAGAGAAGCACCCAAACAATGGTTTTTCTCTCATACACTGTCTGAGAGGTCAGTGTAACCTTCCTAAATGTTTTTTGAAGTTGGTGTAAAGAGCTCTTTTCTTCTCACTGAGAGCTCAGATTGTGTATTTTTTATCCTTTTTTTCATACGGGGTGATGACACCCTTTCACAACTGCAGAGAGCATTCGTGAAAGAAGTGTTTATGATGTAGACACCTCTCTTTCCTTCTCTCTCTCAGACATTCCAGGCAGCCTTTCATTTCATCTTGTAACCTTTATAATAGTACAAATGCGTTGTCCGCAGATTAAACAAACCAATCATGGCCTGCCTATTCAGATATCTATTGTATCCCACAGTGACAAACGTGAACTATAAATGTTTGAGTGCTCAAAAAACGTTCGTCAAGCATTTATTATCCATTTTCAAACATACAAACAAGAGTCTTGTCTTGTTATTAGTAGCAGATAGGTGGTTAATTAAACTCTTGTAAATTGTTTTATTTGTTTGTCCTGGGTTTAACTGCTGAAATGAGGGAGTAGTGGCTATAACCTGTATATGTGTGTGTGTGAGTGGACTGTAGGTGCCACCTGGGTACTAATGAGTGAGTAATTAGGCTCTGGCACATGCACAGACAGCCACACCTTGCTCCTTAGGACCCCAGCCACCATATGCTGCACCAGTTGGGAGCTCAACTTGCCAAGAACAAGAAGAAAGAGAAAAGTAAGTGAAAAGAAAACCTCAGTTCCTTCCTTCATCATAGGAGCACTCTTTCTAAACATTCTGGCCTATGCCATAAAATTGCATGACCTTCTCAGATAGAAGCATTTAAAAATCACTGATAAACACAGTAAATACTGAAGGAGAATGATGAAAGTAAACCTGGTAATTTACTAAGTGCCAGCTCTATTCATGCCAGTGTAGCCTGATCTCAAACACATTCAGAATGCTAACAAAAGAAGGGGTGTGTCCTTAAAAAAAGGAAAGCTGGGCTGGGGTCGGTAGTCAAGGATTAAAGTGGTTTGATTTCTTTTTACAGGTGGTGAAAACTGACCCCAGCACAGCACAGACATGGTGGAAATGTTTGAGCTGAAGACTTTAGAGAAATCTTGGAGAGAAAATGTTCTTTCAACTGCTTTCAGGAGCGTGTAAAATCAGCAGATGCCAGCCAAATGTTGGTGGGTCTATTTGTTTGTCAGCTTCTGAAATGTTGTCCCTCCCCACTGTGAAATGCGGTAACAAAGTCCCATACATAAGATTCACATACCCTCTGCTCTTGACAAGTGCAAGTCATTTCTGGGTCACATTTGGGCCATTTGTGGGACAGAGAGAACACACACATACACACATTTGCTAAACCATCTGCTCCTGGTGCCTGTCGTGGTGTAACATTACTACCTCAAGCAAACTTTCCAGGGAGGACAGCAATGGAGTCTACATCCATTTGTTCCATTTGATGTTACTAGTGGTGTTTACTTGAGTTAATGTACAAATACCTTAATAAAAAAAAATGCTTTTAATTTGACTTGAGTAAAAGTAAAAAGTACCTATTCAAAGTCGGTGTTGGGAAGGTTACTTTGGGAATGTAATAGGCTACAGATTACAAGTTACCCTATTTAAAATGTAATAGTAGTGTAACTTTTTCAATCACTTTATTAAAGTAATGTAACTGATTACTTTTTGATTACTTTTCTAAATTTCTAATGAATGTTTTCAACTGTTAATCATTTTCAAAAATTTACACCATGCATGGTTAACCTTACAGTAGTGCTCGACACTGATACTGTCAGACTTTCAAAATCCTTCATCACTTGAATTAAGATGATAAAACACATCCACCACAACATCAGACTTTAGCACCGCCTTTGATTTTGAGATTGACCTGAAGTTCAATGCAGATTTAAAATCATAAGAAAAAGTTTACTGATACTGTTTTTGAAACCAAATCTTTGCATAACTACAGGAAACACTGCATCTAACAATGCTTTGGATTTTTTTTTTTAAGTACAGTCAATATGATTATTTGTCAGCTAAATTACTACTGTAACTCTACAGTAGATAATAATGGTGTCCTTTAGTATACAGTATTTTGAGTGGTGATTGATCAGCAATGGGCTGCTACTGCTTAAAGTCCCCATTAAATCAAAATTAAAGTTTTTTGGGTGTTAGTATCAATATGTTAGTCTTAAGGTTATCTATAAGGCAGTGTGCTCCAAAACAGTGACAAAATTGCCCAAGCTGTGATATAAACGAACGCTATTGGCTATTTTAAAAAGGGGCGGGGCCGCTTGATATGTCCCACCCTGTCTTCCTGTTTCAGTTAAAATGACGTCAACACATAGAGTAATGCTGCGTGTTTCTAAGCATTTCAGGGGACCTTTAACTAAGTAAACAAAGACAAAACTACAATAGCATATTTACAGATGAAACTGATCTGTAATTAAATAATTAAATTAAATTATTTTGTAATTAAATTACATTACATGTAACTAGTTACTCCCCAACACTGGTTAAAGTACTGATCAATAGACCATAGTTTATGCATTTATGTATTAAATTATGGCTTGTAATTTCATATGAACCTATACTGCACAAAATATCTATTTTAGGAGAG